ACTGGCATGGGCATGGTGGTGCATGCCTGTAATCCCAGTGCTTGGGAGGCTGTAAACAGGAGGATCCCTATGAGTCTGATCTGCTGTAGACTCTGTACTAAATACATTTAAAAAAAAAAAAAAAGAAAGAAAAAGATCCTGGCAAACAGAAAGCAATAGGTCAGATATGATAACCAACTTCATTTCAAGTATTCAAGGAATATTCAAGTATTCAGTTCATCATGTACATATCAGTAAATGAATTAATCACATAAACAGAAGCAAGGAAAAAGATTATCACAGTAGACTTAAAAAAAAAAAAAAACAGCTGTTGAAAGAGGTCAGCATCTGTTGTGATAACCGTGAAGAAAATAGATATATATATATATAGATGGGCTTTATCTCAGTCTGATAAAAGCCATTTATGACTGGCCTGTTGCCAACATCATATTAATCCTGAAAGCTTTCCCTCACAATTAGAAACGAGAGGAATATCTGCTATTACCATTCTTGTTGAACATTGTTCTTGGAATATTAGCCAGAACAGTCAAGCAAGAGAAAGAAAAGGGATACATACAGGAAAGGACAAAGTCAGAGTATCATTAGCTGATGATACAATCCTGTAACAAAGCCCAAAAAATTCTACCAGGAAACTCCTAGAATTAATAACTAAGTTTAGCAATGTAGCAGGGTATAAAATGCACAAAAATTGATAATGTTTCTATGTGTTAATAAAATCAAGAAAAATTAGGAAAACAATACAATTCACAATAGCATCAAGAAAAATTAAGTGCTCAGGAAATAACCAAGGAAGTGCAAGAGGACCTGTGCAGTGAAAATTTTATGCCATTCTGAAAGTGAAATAAAAATGGACATCAGAAAATAAAAAGATGTCCTCGTTTTTTGAATAGTTAGAACCATTGTAATCAAAATGGCTCTATTTCCAAAATTGATAAATTTAACACAGTTGCACTCAAAGTACTAAAGGAATTTCTCACTGATCTAGAGAAACCTATTCTAAAATTCATATGGAACCAAAAAAGACTCAATAGCAAAAGCAATCCTGGGTAACAAAAGCAAAACAGGAAGCATCACAATCTCAGATTTAAAGTTGTACTACAAAGCTATTGTGATTAAAACAGCACAGTACTGGCACAAGAACAGGCATCTAGATTAGTGGAATAGAAAGGAACAATGATGGTGAACCTTTCAGAGATAAATATCCAAAGTGTAACCCACAATTCAGTTATCAGGTGCTAACACTGCAATTCAGTATGAGGTTTTAACTTTGAAAAAACTCATTTATTAACATCTTTTATCTTAAAAATACCATAAATGCCACTAGTTCACCACCGCTGAAATAGAGCAAATAGAGATAACCCATGCCCGTACAGTGATTTATCTTTTTTTTTTTTCTTTGGCAGAACTAGGGATTGAACTCAGGCCCTTGCGCTTGCCAGGGAAGCGTTTATTCCACTGAGCCATCTCCCCGGCCCCAAGTGATTTATCTTTGATAAAGGGGCCAAAAACATACACTGGAGGGGTCCTGCCCATTATTAGGTCAATTGTTTTAAGTGCCTGCTTAAGCAAAGCAGTCAGACTCAGAATTCTGTGGTTTGATCCCCAGATCCTTATGCCTTGCCAGACCTGCCCTTAAGGCATCCTGAGCGGGCCAAAAAAACAAAAACAAAAATCCTTCTTAACTTTTAGGGCCTGAGTTCAATCCCCAGTTCTGGGGAAAAAAAGAAAGAAAGAAAGAAAACACACACACACACACACACACACACACACACACTCACTGGAAGTATAGCCTCTTGCAGCTTTGGAAAAATAGTTTATCCTCAAGCAGAAGATTCAATCTAGACCCATATCTGTACTATACTAAAATCAGAATAGATCAAAGAATTAATAGTTCAAACAGAAGTACTTGCTGGAAGATAAAATAGGTAAAACTCTTGAAGCTATAAACATAGGCAAGGACTTTATGAACAGAATCCCAGTGGTACAAAAATCACGTGTACATGTTAGGTGGAGCAGTCCCAAAGGGACATTTGAACTCAAAGGGACAAGTAAAATAGACCCCTTGCTCCCTCAGAATAATGTCATGGTTATAAAATACTGCATAATGGGAGATGTTTACTATGAAAGGTTGCTGAAAAAGAAAATTCAAATAAAGCTATAGTTAATTTATGTCTGTTAGGTTTTTTCCCCCACCCCTTTACCTTGCTAACTGTTAACATTAAAGCTTTAATGGAAACTGCAGAATTGGTTTCCTGATTTCAAATGTTAGACACTAATAGGGAGTTAATAAACTGCAAAACCTATATGTATCTTACATTCACCTTTTTTTTTTCTCTCATGATGCGCATTAATTTTAGTGTGCTTTTGGCTGCTGCTCTTTCATAAGATGTATTTGTATAAAAACAACGTAACATATTATTTGTGTATGCACTGTTTTTTTTGTTGTTGCTGTAAGTTCTCACAGCCCAATTCTGATACACAGTGCAACAGATTTCATTTTTCCATAAAACCAGGGAGATTATAGTCTAGATGGAAAATTTGGTAGCAAAGAGGTGATAGCCAGAATACACCAGAGAAATAAAGGCACAACAAAGATGTGTCTGTTATGATGTAATCAACAAAGATCAAGCTGTAAGTTCAAAAAATTGTATCCATGTTTCATATACTGTGGAAGCATTCTAACTTCAGACTTTAAGATTCACGACTCTGGTTAACCGCAGTCATCCAGAGTCTTGCAAATTGGCATTTAGCCTGGTGAATTCACAAAGGTTGTTATGCTCAGGATTGCAGGTGTAGATACTAGCTAATTTGGCAAACTCACTGGATGTGTCCCTGGAGAGATGTATGTTAATCAACTTTATCAGTTGAAGTGGGAAGCACAGCTCTTGGGCAGGTGGATTTTTGTCCACCTTTTATGTATTTCTATCTTGGTGGACCTTGTGTTTTCTTATATGTGGCTTCCATTACTTTTGGAAAGTCCTATAACTTTTGCTCTAAGCAATTATAGTTGCTTTTTAAGAAAATCAAAGACATAAGAAAAAATAGCTTATTCGTTTACCATTTACTTAGTGTTTGTGATTTCATAAAGTAGAATCAGTGAACACTGTGCCATGTGCCTGTAATCCCTGCACTTGGGAGGCTAAGGAAGGCAGCGGCATCACCCACAAGTCTGAGGCTGGCCTAGGCTACATATTGAAATGAAGACAGCCTGAACTACATAGGGAGACCCT